CAGGGGGCGTGGTCTCACCTGCAGCGTCTGCTCCTTCCCCACACCCCATAACCTCTTCCTTCCAAGGCGACATGCTGGCACAGGGCTGGGGTTTCTCCCACTCTGCTGTGTATTCACTTTGCCTCCCCCCCGTGCCTGCTGTCAGGACCCCCCTCACGGGTGACTCCGGAGTGCAGCCGAGAGCACTGGATTCGTGGCTTCCCCAAATGGCTTTTCATTTTTTGTTTGCCTCCATCTGACGCCTTTATTTTTCCCCCCCGCTTCCTTCCTTGAGGTCGGCTGAGTTGCTGGCGAAGCTCCCACTGGGGGACGGGCAGGTGAAAGGGGAGCGAGGTCTAGTGGTCAGAGCGGGGGCAAGGGGAGCTGGGAACTAGAATGCCTGGGTTCTCTTGCCGGATCTGGGAGGGGAGTGGGAGCTGGTGGTTAGAGTTTGGGGGCGGGGGGCTGGGAGCTAGGACTCTCTCCAGCTCTGCTGCTCACTCACTGCTTAACCCTGGCCGGCTGCCCCTCCTGGCTGACCCCGCTTCCCCCCTTGGTCTCTCTCCAGACATTGTGATGATGGAGGAGGGCCCCGGCCCCATGCCCCCAGCTCTCCTGCCCAGCGCACCACCTGACCGGGAGCAGTACCGCCGGGTGGGGCTCACCAAAGAGGTGCTCTCCACGCACACCCAGCACTTCAAGGACCTAAGCCGGCTGCATGTCTTCGACGCACCAGCCGGGCGCAGCCAGCACGAGGGACGGGGCGCCGAGCCAGGTGCGCCTTGTAATTCAGGGGGAGTCTGGGGGCACTCTTGAGAGGGTCAGTTCAGGGCAAATTGCTCAGACAGGGCTACTTACAGCTCAAGACTCCACTGTAAGGCACCAAACCAGCCCCAAAGAGCCCTTCTGTTTGCCATGCTGGCTAGCAAGAAGTTCCACAAGCAATTCCCTTCAAGACCCTCCCGTTCTCCTGTGCCCCAAGCAGCACCACTCCGTGCACAGACGCGAGGCCATGGAAACCGCCCGCACCACATCCGCGCAGGGGCTCCCGATCCCAAAGGACCAGCCGCGGTCCCAGGTCAATTCGTGCCTTGGCTCTTATGCAAAAGAGCGCGCTGGGCCAGTCCTTCAGAATCGCACACCCGCCCGGACGTTCATAGAACTCTCTAGGGAAAGTTGCAAGTTGTTCAAGGAGTCGAAGTGCACACGCCGGTTGCACAGTCCTGGGTGCAGCCGTGCAGCAGGGATGGACCAGGCTGCTGGCTTAAATCAAGGGTGGACAGCTGCTCTTGGGATGGGTCTTGCCGTCCTTTGATGCTTCAGTTTGTAGCAAAGAGCCTCCAGCGGCGAGACGCCGAGGGGATGGGCTTCCAGGGCCCTTTCTGTCTCCTCGGCTGGGTGGGACTCCCCAGCTGGCTGTGGACAAGTGCATTCCGAGGGGGGGTCTGAAGCGCGTGGGCAAGCGCCCTGTCCGCAACGGGCCCCGTTCTGTCTAGAAGGGTTGCGGGAAGGTCCATTCGGTGTAGCTGGTGCCTCTCGGGCTCCATTAGCTGTCGAATGTTTCTTGATAGCCCCGTTGGCTGGGAATGGCTGCTCTGCGTAGGCTGGGGAGCTGCTCGGGGCTTACTCCAGGGGCTGATGTTCTGATCTTCAAGTACAGAAACACCATGCGGGCTGGGCATACACTGAACCAAGGATCCCTCAGGTGGGATTTATGGCAGAGAGAACAGAGGCTGCACCTGTCAA